AACTTACAGGAGTACCAAAGTGAATGATTTAGCATCTAGGAGTAACAATGTAGATATGTTCACTTAAAGGGCAAGAGTGATTAATATCTTTTTCACGAGTGCAGAGGAACCTACCCAAAATTGTTGAACATTTTTTGGAATTAGATCATCTTTAATGTCTCCCACTTCGGGCAAAGACAAAATGAAGGGATTATGCAGGATCAGCTTCTTCAATTTATCAACATCCTCGCTGTCAGAAATGCAAACCCCAAAATAAGTATCCACATTAATTGATCAAACAAAGCACAAAATTCTATAAACCAATGAGATAAAATTCATCCAAGTTAATTTTAAAAAAACTAAGAAAATGAACAGTGAGTACACGTTGCCTTCCATATATAACAGACTAAAAAATTATAATAATAAATAAACAGAGAAACTGCCATCAATTAAAAACATAGTCTACCAACAGAAAGTCTCAAAAGATTATATCGGTCTGCAAGGACTGAAAAATACAGCTTGTGAAGGCAGTGTAGATAACAACCTTGATGTAGCGGACATGAGAAGGCATTGACAGGAACGTGGAACATGTGCTGCAAAAGCTTTTATATCATCTTCATAGCCATATGACAATAGCAAGTCCGCCTGAAAACAAATATAAAACAATTTATCAACCAGCACTTAATCCTATAAGAATTTTCTTAATCTTAAGGTGATATTAAGAAACCTATACTTTCTTCAAAATTTAAAATCCTAGAATTAATTTTGCAAACATGTGGAAGAGAAAAAAATGAAAAGTAGCCTATCAATCTATATCTCTATGCAAAATCTCCACCTGATGTTTTCTTCTTTTTTTATGAATAACCAAACTTTCATCAAGTAGAAATGAGAATTCAAGGACTTATAGGAAAAAAAAATCCCACAAAAAGGAGGCAAGCTAAAGAAAAGACATCTAATCAAGTAAAATAAGATCTACCAGAAAATTACAAAAAAGTTCAGCCACCAAAGACCACAAAGAGATGTTGAACCTAATAAGGGCGCAAACATCACTTGAAGACCTCTAAAGACCCTATTATTCGATTCCTCTTCAAATACCCCATAAAATAACACACCAAATACCTACAAAAACAATATCCTCTCTCAAAAGGGAGGATTGGGAAGGTATATTTTAGCAACTATTTCTTTATCCAGAAAATATTATTTAAAAAAATCGATCAACTATTTCCATAGTTTTATGACTTGGCATATTGATCCATCTATAGTGCAGTGGCTGCACCTACATTTCTCTTTTCTTTCTTTTCTAGAACATCAGTCTCCTTAAAAGAATGTTCCCAAGAAGAAGAAATAGAATATATCACTCCTTGGAATAAACTACACAAAGTATCATTTCTTTTCTTTTCTTTTCTTTTCTTTTTTTTTTTTTTTCCCCTCTTTCATGCTTCTAAAATCATCCTGATGAACTTTTACTACCACTTCAAATGGATGCTTTTCCGTTAGCTCAGCCACTATTATTCGATCTGACAAACACAAGGACAAATGTTCCTGTAGATTCTAGTCCAAGGCAAGCTGAACACTATTGATGTGCTACAAAGGAGAATGCCGAACTTTTACATCTCCCCTAACTGGTGCATTCTTTGCAAAACAGACACAGAGAAACGTGCTTTCTGTTTTCAGGCTGAACTGATGTTTTGGCGTATATTGTTGGAAAATAATATAGAATTTTTTAGAGTTCGGATTTCAATTCAGCTGGTTTATAGGATCTCATTTGCCTCCACTCTTCGTCATGGTGTTATACTACAATATTGTTTTGTAATTATGATTTATTGCATATTTTTGTCAATCAGGAGGAGCCAATTCAGTTGGTTTATGGAAAATTTCGGTCCCCTTCTTTTGTATATGTCTCTTCGATCAATATATTATCCGTTCCTCCCTCCCAAGAAAAAAATCTTTTATTACCATTACATGTCGCCAAACTGTAGCTGGCAGTTCTACGGAGATTTTAAAGTTGAACCAAGAACATAAAACCACATGTAGCACTACCCATTGAGAAAATGAGAAGATACAGGGATGCTGATCACATTGGTACCATAACATTACCTCATCCAGAACGAGAATTTCAAGTGATTCATTGATGGAGGTTGGTTGGAGAACACCAGCAGACAAGCATTTAGGGATGCATGCAGGTGTAGCAACAATAATATCAGGAGGTCCTGCCAACGCAGTTCGCTGCAAGAGACATTCATCAAATAGATTCAGTAACCAGCACAAAAGCCTGAATCACCTCGCTACATCTAATAGTTTATTTCAGAATCTATTCCTCCCAATATACTTTGGTAAACGAAAATGAACCTGAACCTACCAAATCAGAATGTGACATGCTGCTTGTCAATGGGACAACTTTCACTTGAACTCGACAGAATTCAATAAGAGAAGAAATTTCCTTATAAACCTGCATGCATAGTGCGCACAAGTAATTCAGTAACTGATCAATTAAACAGACTAAACTAGAAAATACAACTCCAAACTCCCTCAGATCCTTCTCAGATGCATTAGCAGAACAGGTATACCTGTTGACTTAGCTCCCTAGTCGGAACCAGAACAACTGCACTTGGACCTGACTTCTTCTTCGTACTAGAACCAGTAAACAGCTTCTGAAGCAACGGAAGGAGGTACGCGAAAGTCTTCCCAGAACCAGTCTTCGCCCGAGCCACCACATCCTTACCTTCCTGAAACAAATAGAACGTCACAAAACACCTCCTCGAATGGAGCAAAGAGTAAAGAAGAAATAAAAATTCAAACTTTGAAATTATCTTTTCCCAAGCACGAAAGGATACAAATTAGCAAATGAAAACAGTAACTAAAATGCAGCGAAGCAGCATCAAGAATTGAACAGCTCTCCCTCCAATCAGGAAGCGCAGTGCGTATAGTGAAGGAAACAAATACCAGAGACGTTTCTAATGATTAAATGCGTACCAAAATTAACGGAATTGCAACATGTTGTATGGGCGTTGGCTTTTGAATTCCCTTCTTGATTAGCGCGCGAACTAGACGAGGGTCCAATCCAAGTTCTTCGAAACTCAGGTCATCTTCTCCGTCTTCCTTTTCCTCCTCATGTTCAACTACTTCGGAAAGCTTCTCCATGCTATGCTATCAGTAGATTCGGTAACAATCAACCAAAAACAGAAGCTTCAATAGAAAAGAAGCCGAAACCGCGAAAACGCAGGGGTTTCGTAGGGTTTTGGGAGGGACTCGAGAATCGGACAGGGTGAGTAAGTACTCCAATTAGGGCTTGGGTCGGGTCAAAACCCAAAATGAAAAGCCCGTTTAGGCTGGCCCATTTTTCCCATGGAAGAAGCCGCTCGGCTGGCGACAGCGGCGTGGCTATGAGTATGAGTGCTGGATATTCATTTCTTTCACAAGTAACCGGAAAATAATTAGAAATAATTGTGAAGTAGATTTGAATAACGTCATCCTCACCCATCATAATTCCCCTAGATAATGAAAAAATTAATATATATTAAAAATATAGAATCATAGATACCGCTCGCCTACTTTACACCATTGAAGGCTAGAGATACGTCCCTCGTGAATCTTATCCAACCGAGGAGTTCTTCTAAACAAAAATAATAATAATAATAATAATGTGAATTTCCATTTAATTTATTACTTATTTTTTCATCTGATAATCTGATAGCTCAAAATTCTGTAACATCTAACCTTTAAACTAATAATATAATGTATGAATGAGTGAAGTTACATTATATTGGGTCTCAATAATTAAAATTGTATAGCATTTACTAGGCACAATAATTATAACTAATTACCGAGTTTCTAGCTAATAAATTAAAAAGAAAGCCCAAAAGTGATAATTGCCCCACAACAATGGATGGCCCAGGCCCAAATAATGGGGTGGCAATGGGGCCCAACTCATGATGAAATGCATGCCATTCTCGGAAGAGCCATTAATTTCGGGGAATGAAAGCCTGTTTGACTTTGACCCTTCCTTATCTCTCCTCCCTCTTTTACTTTCGGTGTGAAGCTTAAACTCTCTTTATTCAATCACACTCAACACACCATCCCTGCCCCACCCCAAAAATACCACTCTTTAATTTTTTTTATTTTTTTATCTTTCCTCCAAAATCCATTTTGTACGTTCTTTTCCGAGGAGGGATGAAACATTCTTTATAAAGTCTGAAAATTTCTTTCTATTAGACACCTTTTAAAACTTTAAAGGAGGGTCAGAGGACCAACAAACTTTGGTGAGTATTTGCCTAATTATGGATGTTTCCTGTTTGGATTAAGGAGGTGGAGAGAATATTAGCAAATTTGGGATCAGTTTCATTCCATACTGATGATTCTTTTAACGCATTCCCCATTTCCAGCATCACTAAACTCCAAACTTGTTACTGTTCAACGACCGTTTTGTACCAGTTTTTGGACTCATCCACACAACTTCTACCGACTCTTCTGAATTTCATTTTTCAACCCACAAAATCAATTTCCATAAATTCTAAAATACCATCATTATATCTGATGACACTTGAGCAAAGTTTGTAAATCAGCAGCAGTAGGCAGTAATAATGGTGCCACCTCAACTTTAGTAAGAAAAATTGGAACGGTGTTTGATTTGTAAAGCGAATGGAAAATGGGTATTCTCTGACGCAGTTGCACACTAGAGGCTAATAACGGTATGGCTTAGATTCAAGTAAAGCCCGGACATTCGGAAAATTTTACAAGAACAAAGAAACTTATGGGTGGGCGGGGGAAGAGTGATTGAAGCTACATCGCAACAAAATAGATAGCCAACGGAGCTATAAAGAGAACAAATTTGACCCAGAAAATGGGCAAACCGACAAGGGCTGAACATGTAAAGCGCATAGGCAATATGTGTGAAATAATGGTGATTGCTTCTCGTTCTTGCATACACGTTACCAATCTTACCATGAAAACAAGTTTTTTGTGCTTCTGTCTTCAGAGAGCTTGAGAAAATGAGTTAACTGTTCGACGGTATAAACCATAAGGAGGAAGATAATGGGAGCGCATCTTAATTTTAATCAATGAGTTTTTTACATTGTTGATTGTTTTGTGAAGAAAATGGCCAAAAAAGTGGGAGGGGGGAAAAGAACGTTGAAAAAGAGAAAAAATATCCTCTCCGATGATGAATCGAGAGTGCATCTCCCAATTAAAAAAGGGGGGAAAAGGGGGACTACATCATAGCTGGTTTAGAACAGACGGGAAAAGGGAGAGAAAAGTGGGGAAGTGGTATATACCTGAACAGAAAATTTATGAAGAATTACAGCTCCTTAATCTGTGCTTTAAAATGGGTGATTAAGATCAATAATCAGGCATGAGCTGACTAATTTTGCCTTCTTCAGCTACCATCTTCCGCTCGGTAATTTTCAGCCATATACAAACGGCGGTGAAGCTGAGAACCAAGCTGACGAGTCCACTCCCTAAACCGATTCCAACAATGGCGATGACGGAGAGGCCCCTGTTCTTCATTGGCGCCAAAGGGTAGCCGTAGAGATCCTTGTTGCCATAAAAGGAAGAGGCATTAAATTTGGGCAAATTGCCACTCCGATTGGCCAGAGTGGAGGGGATTGGTCCGGAGAGATGATTATTAGAGACGTCGAAAGTGGAGAGCCTGACGAGAAGACCCAATCGCTGAGGAATCTGACCGGTGAGCAAATTGTCGTGGAGATCGATAACGTTCAAGTAAGCACAAAATGCGAGCTCCTGAGGGATCTGGTCGGTGAGACGATTGGCGGAGAGGTTGAGGACGGCGAGATTGACGAGATATTGGAGGTCGGAAGGGATGGGGCCAGTGAGAAAATTTGAGGAGAGGTCGAGGGCTTGTAAATTGGTGCAGTTGGCAAGAAAGGGGGAAATAGAGCCACGGAGGGAGAGATTGTTGAGGGAAAGCTTGTAAATACGGCCACTGTTGCAAGTGGCGCCGTGAATGTAAGAGTTGAAGCCATTGCAAGGATTAGCAAGGTTGGATTTGGTCCAGTTATGGAGTGAATTAGTTGGGTCTTCCAAAGATTGGCTTAGATTGATGAGACAGGCCTCGTCGTTCGGATCTGAAGAAGACAAGGGGAGAGCGGCGGAAGCCAACAAGCCCAATATCAGCAGGGTGCAACCAACCATACTGATTACTGAGGCTGAGGAGAGGGGGGTGCCCACAAACTTGTAATCAATTAGAGTTCTGAGACCTCCAATCTGGTTGCGATTATAGGGGTCGGTAGTACAAAGAAAGAGATGGATGAGGAAAAGATTAAGACCCGGATAAGAATGGCTAGTGTAGGGAGGTACAGAGGCTTCTCTTCTGGTTCCGAGTCCGGTTGGCCGTAGAGACGGTAGGTTGCGGTTTGAGCTTCAGAAGGTGAGAGTTTGGTGGATGGCTTCGTTATGAGAAAGGGGTCTGGTGGTGGTGGTGGTGGAAGAACGGGGGTTGTGGTGGCAGCCTGAGAGAGAGAAGAAGAAGAAGAAGAAGAGGAGGAAGAGGAAGAAGAGGGCACAAAATGAAAAAAGTGGACTTTGGAATGGTGGGGGGTGAAAATGAGATTGGGAGTGTATTTTAGACAAGGAAAGAGAGAGGGGTGGGGTCTGCGCCTTTGCGGATTCGGCTACGCTTGTGGGGGCGGCGACTGCGCATGTGAAGCCGAGGATAGCGACCACTCCAAAAGGGTATTTTCGTCACTTCAACCTATACACTATAAAGTTTAGAAACTCAACTCGATTCAACAACCACCCATTATTTCTAATATAATAATAAATCACTTATTTTAGAAAAATACAACTTTCAAAATTCCTTTTGTTTTTTTCCATTTTCCACCTGTAATGGGTATGATATTGTCCACTTTGATATTGTCCACTTTGAGCAGTATTAGTATTCCTCGCTTATAAACTCTATTCCTCACTTATAAACCCATGATCATCCCCTAAATTAGGAGTCTTAGTATTCTCATCCAACACTTCCCTTCGAACAAAGCACGCCTCTCGTTAATCGAGGCTCGACTTCTTTGAAGTCTTAGTCATTTTTTACTGTCTTCGTACCTTCGAGGAGGCTTGACTCTTTTTTTCTTTTGGGAGTCCTTTGTTCGACATTCGAGGATTTGTCAATCTATTGGGCACGACTAAGTTTAGAGCATGGCTCTGATACCATTAGATAAACACGACTCTCCACAATGGTATGATATTATCCACTTTGGGCATAAGCTCTCATGACTTTGTTGTGGGCTCCTACAAAAGGTCTCATACCAATAGAGAGTATATTCTTAAATTATAAACTCAATACTTTCATCTAACAATAACTACATAAAAAAAACATGGTATATTCGATAAAATTTTAAAACAAAAAACTTTATTTTTTGTGTTTTGATAAACGAAGGACTTAAAAAACGTTGAATTTGTAACCCTTTTTATCCATACCATCCAGAAATAGATAGCCTAATGGATAAAGAAGACAGGAACAAGTATCTTGGTGGCTGGTTTAGGTCTAGTTTCACTTTAGCCCTTCAAATATGTAAAATTAATTTTAATATTCATTATAATTTTAAATCAGTTTTTATAATTAACTCCAAATTAATCTCTATTGAATTCAATAATAATTAATCTATTTGGAATTTCCACAAAATTGGTTAAAAATTTAAGAGGGTATTCAAATAAATATCTTATTTACTTTTGGTGCGAAAGGCACAAACATATTTATGTTACCTAATAAAAATTTAATAAAAAATAACAAAAAATGATTTTACTTTTTTAACAGTTTTTGGAAAGGAAGCTGAAATATCTTCTGGTTCTCCCTGAAAAGACAGTTCGTTTTTTGAACCCAGTTTAATAACAAAAGTCGAAAAACAAATAAAAAAAAAGACACTACGAGTTAAAAAAAAAAAGACAAAGGTATTTATAAACTATCATAATTTAGCTATACTTCCAAAATTAGTAGTGGGCGAGAAAGATTAAATCTATTTGGAAAAGCTAGCTCTAATAACTAATTTTACAATTTTATTAAAAAAAAAAAACAATTTTCTTAACAGAAAATAAACATTTAAAAGATATATTAAAACACATTAAATTTTAAACCATATCCAAAATAATATTTAATATTTTAACTTAAACTTTTTTTCGTGCTCAATTGGTATCATTGGTTCGATTGTTGTTTCCTTCTTCCTCTTTGACTATTAAATTGTTAATGGAGATCGAGACATTAAAAATGATATTAATAACAAATAATAATGCTATTAATGTTTATTTTGGTGCTTGACAATCAAATCGTCCATGAAAAATTCATTTAAAATGCATATGTATAAATTATTTTAAATGGTACACTATGAGATAAATAATTAATAATATAGTCTCAAAAGTATTCCAAAAAAAAAATCGAACCTTACTTTTCAAAACATCTACAATATTTATTAATTTTTATTTAATAAATAAAGAAATACTAAATATGACTAACTTATTAAAACTATTTTAAAATCTAAGCTTCAAAAAAAAATAAAAAAATAAAACTTTAATAGACACTTTTAAAAATATAAACACCTATTGACACTAACGTGATAAAACTCATTATTTAGTTGTTTGATAAAAAGTGTATAAATTTATTAACATACTTTTAGAGCTTGCCAGCTTGACAGTGCTTTTAGTTTTTTTTTCAATCTCTTTCTGTATAATATACAAATATACACCCAAATAAAAGTAATTATAATTATTTATTTATTTATGAAAGACTGAGTCAAACCCTAGACTATAGTGTCTTTATAAACTTTTCTCTCTGATTTAACGGATACAAACACATATTTGATTTTTACCACCAACTTTATTTATATGTTAATCTTTAATTAAATAGTTATTGATATATCTTTATTTTTTAAAATTGATAATAATGATTGTGTGTTTAAATCAACTTTTAAACCAATTATTAAGTATCAAATTATAGAATTTTAGATCACATATGAATAAATTATTAAAAATATTCCGTAACTAGATATCTTAATTTTTTTTTTCAATTCCTGATTTTTTTTTTATCATTTTTGCATGCTCTCAATTGAAACTAATAGATTAATTTGGTGAATATCAAATAAAAGATTAACTTGAAATATTTATTAAAGTGCGTGACTTTCATGGATGAAATTAAAAGTCCAATAATACCGTGCTAAAATCGTAGTATAATTTTATTTATTATGATTCTTTTTATGTTAATCATCCTAAAATATTTTGTTTTATTAATTGATAAAAGTTATGAGAAAACTAAAATAATTATATTTCATAAATAAAAGTCTAAAATATTTCTTAGAAACAATCCAAAAAATAAAAAAAAATAATAAATTAATTTTAGAGTTTGTCTTAGTTCAACAAAAAAGTATTTATTTTATATAATTAATAATTACGCAAAACAAGACAAAATGGAATATAAGATATCACTGTAACAATAACTAACTTTATTGGCAATAGAACATAAAGTATAGACTCATATTAATGGTAATTAATAACAAGTATCCATAAAAAGTAAATAACTTTATTTATCATTATCGCCTGGAGGAATAAAATAATCCACCTTTAAACAACAAAAAAAAAAAATTAATAATTTCCAAAAATTTTCAGTCTCCTTTTTTGCTAATTTTAAATTAATGGAAACTTAAAACTTACCCAACAAATATAGTCTTTAGATATAATATAATTATAGGTTGTCATTAAAAAAAATCATTTAACAATTTACAGTGAAGCAAATAGGCCGCGGGTCCACGTGCCACTCCAACTGGAATGACTTATTTTGCACTCTCGCCAAAGAAAATACAAATTTTAACGATTCCCAATCACGGATTGTACGACTTAGTGTGGAAGCGAAAAATATATATAAAAATAAAACAACGACTAATGAAATGAACCCACGTGTCCGAGACAACTTTTCTCCCCTGGCGTTACTATCTAAAACAATTTAAATTCTAAAACATTCTTTTTCTGATTTAATACGTGGATATTCATTTGATCAATGACAGCACTGTAACTTTCTTAAGCTTCTGGAAAATACAATTAAAAAATTTATAAAATCAAATTCTAAGTTTTTTTTTTTCCCCGGATAAATCTGGAAGACTGTTTTTAGAAGGTGGAGGCATTTTGTGCGTGGAGTTGGAATGAAGTGAAATCCAAAATAGGGAGGGGTTTGAGTTTCAATTCAATGTGCTTTGTCTCAAGTAAACATGGTGGCCAACATGAGTGCCAACACCGCAACACACTGTTGGGATGACCTCGACCGATTCATGCCCTTGAAAGCGAGCCTTCCAACGGGCCCATCCTCTTACCCCCTGACATACTGGGCCCAATTCTCAGGCCCACTAAAGTCCACCAAGAACTTTTTTATTTATTTTTAAATTTAAATATGGAGAGAATAAAAAAGAAAGAAATGAATAATATAATAGAGGAAGAAGAGAACAAAAACGTTTGACCAGAGTGGACGACAAGACAGTGAAGGAGAGGGGGAAGGACAAGGGCACGTACACTGAAGATGCCCAAGGTTGTCGACGGGCCCTGACGACAACATTATCCAGTATCTTGGCATTGGCAATGGCCACACCAATAACCACCGATGGAAATTCATTCTGAGTTAGCTTTAGGTGTGGCTCACAAGGAACCACCTTTCAGTTTCAGCTGTGTGTCTGCACTGCCACACACCGTATCTGTGTATGGCCCCTTTTTCTGCACCACGCTTTTGGATTTGACGCTCTATCATTCCTTCACCTTTTAAATTTTAATTCTCCTCATTTATTTATTTATTTAATACAAAAAGGAATTATAAAACCAATGATTGAACACATAATACATTCAAAGTCCAGTCCATACAATTCCCAGATAAGGTCTGCAATAGGCCCATCTTCTGAGTTCACACATTTTTCACATACCCACCAAACTCATTCTAGTCTATAATTTACGTAAACTATGACTTCCAAACGTTGGAAAATATTTATTTTGAATATGTTAGATGCATGAATATAATCAGTAGATCCGGTCAGAGAACCTACGACTTACTACTTGATGTGGTGCTTTCCTCGACCAAAGTAGTGTCGATCTAAATGCAATTGTATTGCATTTTTTATTTTTGTTTTGTGAGTATACTTATATAATCTTGTCTATTACACTCGTTTAGACTCGTACATAGGGTCAAAGGTGTTAAAAGGAGTGATCTTGAGGTCATTATTCCAATCTATAAGGTCACTCGAAATCTCTTTATCCTTGAGTAATGGGCTCCCACCCAGCTTGGCTATATAATATAGCCTTCGAAAGTGGTTTTTTCCTCTTAAAAAATGGCCCAACCTGATAAACTTTATGTCAAATAAGACCCTAACTAAACAATAACTTTAAACTACACCAAACTTAAAAATTAAGGAAAGTAAGGACGCTGCTTTTCCACCTAATCATACATCTGCTTTTATTTTTATATTTTTCCCAGTTAAATCATAATGCCACCTGTTTAACACTAGTAATTGGGACACACATCGCAATCATGGACATTAAAATTTTGACTGGGATTGGCCCATAACGTTTTGGGC